CACAGATACCAAGGTTCCTTACAATAACTTCATTCAGATCTAATTTCGTGAATCGGCAATAAAAAATACATTTTTTTCTTGCAGGCACTTTACTCTGATCGTTCAGTTTATATGATAGCTATATGACATAGTGATCCGATCTAAACAATTTCTTCGGAAATTACATTGTTACTACAGAAAATAACTCGTGCCAAATTTCGTGAAGATATTACGTCAAATAAAAAAGTTTCCCATACTTGCCAAGGACGATTCTTCAGTTTGTATGGCAGCTATATGCTATAGTGGTCCGATATCGGCCTTTCCGACAAATGAGCAGCTTCTTAGTGAGAAAAGGACATGTACAAAATTTCAGATCGATAGCTTAAAAACTGAGGGACTAATTTGCATATATACAGACGGACGGACGGACCGTCGGATGGACAGACAAACATGGCTAAATCAACTCAGCTCATCATGCTGATCACTTATATATATATTTTATAGCGTCTCCGACGTTTCCTTCTGGGTGTTACAAACTTCGTGGCAAACTTAATATACCCTGTTCAGAGTATACAAATTAAGGCTCGCTCACAACAAATGTTCCCTACCAACACATTTGTATCTAAACACTCACTTCACACCGGTAAATCTGGCATATAACCCTATATCTAACTAGAGAACTTAAAACAACTTCATTTAAGTTCTCTGATCTAACTCGATTAGTTTGGGTGATGCAAACAACCGTTAGGTAAACAAAACTATTATACTCTGTAGCAACATGTTGCAATAGTATAAAAACCATGATACCATGAATACTGTTATAAGTAATAGTTGAATCAGAGAACTTAAAACAACTGGTTGAATAACATTTAATTGTATATTTCTTAGAAACTACAAAGTGCTTGAATTACAAATTTCACAGTAAAAATTATTCTAATGACTCCAGAATTGTTGTAGTATTATTTCTGAATTATTTTGTTGACAATGCACCACTTGATATAAATAAATATTTATATATGTATATATGTATGGATATTAAATGTACATTGGCTTATATCTGCATAAATACACATGTGTATGTGCTATACATTAATGTTTCTCAAACCTACGAGCCAGTCTCGTGTCGGAACTATAATCTTTTAAGTACCGAGTAACCCCTATCGAGTACTGATTACTACTTTATCGCCTGGAGAACTCAGTACTTCTTCGTACTAGTTTTGAAGTATAGAAAAGATGCATTGTGTTGCTCTCTGACCTCAATGACATTTGTGCAGTGAAGAGAACTTAAACGGTAACTGGTAATGATATTAATTGTACTTGTATCGAAATATTTCGAAATTAGTGCATTTGCTTGTAGGGAATGAATCAAATACTTATTAATAAGTTCGTACAAATATACGCCCCAACAAACCTCAATTACGGTTATGCACAATTTCATATTTGTGACGACTATATATTATATCTAACTTTATATACGTAAGTATATACATATATGTATATATGATATACATATATATGTACACATATAATATACATATTAACATCACGTTTTCCCGTTTGTTAATCTATATTGAAGCGCCGCATTTAAGTCAAAACGTTATCGGACCCAATCAACAATGGCAGTGCTGAAATAAGATTTATTTCTCTGTGTGTCAAATGTAAATATTTACCTATGAAATTATATATATTATTTATTATCACTTAAATGAGTCAAGTAAATTAATAACAAAAAAAAATTTTAAATATTGTTTTGAAGCTTCACGTGAAATAGTATATTATACAATATATTTTTGTACCTATATATGTTTGTTTTTTTAATTTGTATAGTTATAATTATTTTCAACTACTTACTCATCACCGTTACAACAAAAAAAAATAATACAAATGTTTTCCTTGTTACAAATTGTAACCCACTTCTAACAATTTAGATAGATAGTGTAAGATATTAGTACGGTAGAAATGGTGTAAGTTAGCTCCTGGTTGTCTCTCGTAAAATAGGTGGTAAAGTGGCAATACTATTTTTCAGAGTTCAGAGTAAAAAAGTTTTGTTCATATAACCGTTGTCTGTAACACCTTAAACTAATCAAGATAGATCTACATGTATTTGACTAAATTATACACATTTACAAACATACAGTTATTCAAATCCACAAATTCCACTTGCCTTGCGGGTTAGTTGGTGAATTTATTTATTTCCAAAAGTTCTTTGGTACTGTTACTACTATCTCATCGGGCCTTCCTATAACCCCAAAATTGGATACTATGGAAATAATAAAAACTTTAAATAAAATATTTAATTTTTTATGAAAAAAAAGTTATTGAAAATAGTCCGTTTTGCCTCGAGGAAACCCATGTAACCCCTTAATATTATATATAATAAATAGTCAATCGACCAGTGAACGACGCCATCGAGCAGTTTGGCGAACTTCGATGTTAGCTGTATTGTGTTGCTACTATCTATGGTACTCATTATGTTAGATTTCATTCAAGAAATCAGTTCATTAGCCTCAACTGATTTAAAAATACGATATTTTTAACTTTGCAATTTTTTAATTTCATTGTGAAAAGCAGTACATATTCTCTTATATAGACAAAAAATTAATAGAGACAGCGCTGTGCTCTTATCACACACTTCCGCTATACAATGTCATCAACAAAACATACATATAACACTTGCACATACATGTTTAGACGATAACTAGACATTCAATTTCCCTAATCTGCCGGGTTTTTGTTACAAGTGATCATTCAGGCATATGTACATACGCTTGTGGGTATATTTGCATCAAACAGCTTCAGTTCATCCACTTGGCTGTCCGCTTCTTATCGCCTTGCGCACGCGCCCAACGAACACCACTTCCTTTGTTTGTACTGTTTGAATTATTTTTTATACCCTGAACAGGGTATATTAAGTTTGCTCGAAGTTTGTAACAACCAGAAGGAAACGTCGGAGACCCTATAAAATATATATATAAATGGTCAGCATGATGAGCTGAGTTGATTTAGCCATGTCCGTCTGTCCGTCTGTATATACAAATTAGTCCCTTAGTTTTTAAGCAATCGATCTGAAATTTTGCACCTGTCCTTGTATGGGAAACGTTTATAATTGACGGGGTTTTTGTCTAAGGCAAAAATGTAATATCCGAAGAAATTGTTCAGATCAGATCCCTATAAGATATAGCTGCCTTACAAATTGAACGATCGGAATCAAGTTCTGTGAAGGGTATAATATCTTCGGTGCAACCGAAGTTAACGCTTTTTCTTGTTTTTTTTTCAGTTTTTGTGTAATAAAATTGTTTGTTAGTCGGATGTTGGGTGATTCACCTTTGGAATTTACTCTGAAGCAAATGTTTTTATTTACAATACATGGATGCCCATTTATTTTTTTATTATTTCAGATGTATTTATATAATATTTATAAAAATATATAGTTTGTACATACACATATATGTATATTGGTATATGGCTGCTCTACATAAAATTGTTTGCGAATTGTTTATGAAGAAGTTGGTTTTATTCATATATAGGTTAGGTTCGTCTTCATATTATATTAACGGTAAACTAAACGGTAAACGGTATATTGATTGCCTCTAAGTTGAGTGGGATTAATAGAGATTGTGGTTAAATGGTAATCTTTCCATATGGGAAAGTTGACGTTAGGTTCTTCGGACGTCTCGATACATATGTTCTAACAGAAACGCTCATGTATGTATAACAAAATCATATTATCGAAAATTCACGATAATTATAATCTCGTGAACAAAGTCAATTTTTTTATGCTGATAATTATATGGTCTTTCGTATGTGATATCTGTAATAATTCTCAAACATGATTGATACCCGTATTGTGATATTCATTTATTTTATCATTGTATGGCACAAAAACGCTTTACGCTTAACATGTCGCGACTACATAAAAATTATTTTTAATTCTTAGTATTCCCAAATCTTCTTCAGTTTAATGTTCTTATTGTAATAATTTTTTGTCTTTCAATTTTTGCTTACAATTTTCATGCAGGTGACAACTTTTCTGGCACTTCTCCTTTTTATTAATTTACGATTTTCGAATAACATTTTTTTAATTTTATCTACGCTTTTGACGATTTTTAAAACGTTTATATTCCTTTGTTATCGATAGAGTATCATAGCCGAAACCATTCACTAACTATGGTTTGCACCCTCTTATATGTTTTTAACAAAAAAAAAATGCAAAGGCGCTGATGCTGAATGATTTGATTGCATCATGAAGATAGATGTATTTAAAACGCCGTGAACTTTTCAACTGTACCTCAGAGTAGTAACAAAAAACTTATACGCAATGACTGAGAAAGCAACTCCATGGACATTATCACATGTTCGATTCGTCACCAAACAAGGTCTGACGAATCGGAGACCAATAAAGACAAGGTAGCAAGCAGTTATAACACTCTAATGAGAAATCTTTAAATCTTTTATTGAGTTCGAATGGTAGCGAAAGGAAGCCGACTCTAATTAAAATTTATTATACGCCATTATAATTATACTCAAAGCAGGGTATATTAAGTATCGATCTGAAATTTTACACATGCCCGTTTCTTCCAAAGACGCTGCTCTTTTGACAAAACCGCCAATATCGTAAGACTATAGCCTATATCTATATCTCTTCATCAAAATCAAGCTCTTGTATGGAAACTTTTTTAATTGACAAGCTATTTTTACGAAATTTAGCACGAATTAGTGTTTCAGGCAAGCGGAAATTTCTGAAGATATTGTCTAGATCGGATCACTATAACATATAGCTCCCATACAAGCTGATAGTTCAAAATTTGTTTATTTGTGAAGGGTATTATAGCTTCAATTCAACCGAAGGTAATGTTTTTTTTTTTTTTTTTTTTTTCTGTTTTTTTTTTCAGCTGCCTTCAAATTGGATTGAAAAGTATTACGCTTAATAATAATAATTTTGCCCTTCACCTTCTTTACTACACCCTTTTAAATAGCATTGAATGGCGACTAATTACGTACGTACATTTGTCTCATTGCAGTTTTCGCACAATAGTACGTGAAGCTAATTGCGCAACGTTGGCTTATTTGGACAACAATAAAACGGCACGTACATACACATAACCACTGCAACCGTATTTACAACAACCACACCGTAGAGAAGACACTTGACTATTATGCATTGACAAAAGTATGGACTCATTACACATGACGAGTACTGCTGGTGGTAGTGGTACACAATTATCGTCATTACACTCAACAGCAACAACAGCAACGAATCTAGTCGCAACAACGCCAGCGAAAGATCATTATAATAACAATTTGTTGTTGCTAAGTCGAGTCGCAGGAAGCGGACAGTTGCGCACAAGTAGATCTCCATCGGACACACGCAGTTCCGAACAAAGTACGTAGTTTGCATGGATTTACATACATTTGCATTATATGTATTAAATATACTTAATTGCATAAGTATGTAGATTTTTATTTGCATATGTCACTATAGAAGTGCTTAAGCATACTAGCACCGTTTGCAAGTAACCTGCGGATGTGCATTAAACGCTTTTATTATTGTATTTAATATTTTAGTGCTTTTTATTTTCATTATCATAAATTCATTACCTGTTTTATAATAACAACTTTGATTGTTACTACATTTACAACCTTTGTACTACATACATACATATTCTGTTTGCTATATTAATAAATAATACTTATTTTTCGCCATTTACATACCAACATATCTTATATATATATATATACATACATGTAAGCACATAAATAACTCATGCCATTCATTTCCAATAAGAAGCCAAAATTTATCCTACGCTTTCAAAAGTTTTGCTTGGCTTCAACTTAATTAAATTTGAATTGTGGCTAATTTTAGCAGTTCATCTCCCATTTTTTATTTACATATGTATATTCGTTTGTTTGTTGATTAATTTGCTTGATGAGCACCCCTCCTTGGAATTCCTTCAAAGAATATCACAATGTCCATGTATTATCAGTCATTGTGTAGTGCGTTTTCTTCAAGTCAATTGGACATTTCCGTTTGTATTTGCGGTGTGGCGAAAAAGTAGGTGTGTTCACAGATATAATATACACACACATGCACATAACTATGGTATGCGTATTATAGCTGCACATAATTCATTTAACTACTTGGACTCATTTCTATGAAGAAACTATCTATGTACAAGTATGTAGATATAATTATTAATATATACTTGTATGGCTTGTTCACTCGTAGCTGCACGAAGGAATTCCATTTATGAAACAATTAAGATAAATTATTTATTGTAGTAGCACTCAGACAAATGATTAAAAGCTTTGCGGATAGTGAAGTACAATCTTACTTGTGAATGTTCGGATATATACATATGTATGTATTATATCCATATGTACTATATATTTACATATGTTCATTATTGTTAAAACTATTAGTAATTGTTTTCTTCTCGACCTATCTTATATAGGGTGATCCATTTCAAGGCCCAAAAATTAAAATTTAATGGGAAATGTTTATTATCACTCAAAAGAACATTCTTATTTTTTGGAGATTATCTCTTTGTTCCAATTTTCGATTACTCGTTCGAGCATTTCGACTGGTAACTGGCGAATGACATGAGGTGATGTTTAGTTCCAAGGCTTGAATCGAAGCGGGATTGTGCGCATAGACTTTAGACTTTACATATCCCCACAGGAAAAAGTCTAACGGTGTGATATCACACCATCTTGATGGCTAATCGGCCAGCCCAAAACGTGAAATTATCTGCTCACTGAAGTGTTCGCTCAATAAATCCATTGATTGATGCGATGTGTGGGAAGTGGCACCGTCTTGTTGAAACCAAATGTCGCCGAGATCACGAGCTTCAATTTCAGGCATCAAATAGTCGGTTATCATGGCGCGACAACGATCGCCATTGATGGTTACGTTCTCACCGGAATAATTTTTGAAGAAATATGAACCGATGATTCCCTCAAACCACATCAAACCGTTGTTTTTTCTGGATGAGATAGCAGCTCTTGAATCTCTTCAGATTGCTCTTCGTCCCAAATGCGGCAATTTTACTTGTTCACATACCCATTGCACCCAACAAATGGAATTTTATCAATCGTTTTGATGCCACAATATGAAACTAAATTATGCCGAACGGTTGAAATATTTGGACTCCCGACTTCTGACCCTTTCTCTAGTTTGTGCGAATAAGTTTAAAACTTGACAAAGCTACATACGTAGGCGCTAATTGTCTTCAACTATTTCCAATAAGAGGCTTATGAAATTGTTAAAATGTGGTAAATTAAGTAATAACCCATGGTAGAAGTGAGTGTTATTAAGGTCCCGAAATAGATATTTTTTTCATCTTGAAAGCCAATATGTACATATGTATGTATGTGTGTTAAAAAATATACGTAAAATTGTTGTAGAAATCGTATGGTGTTTTTCTTTACATTTCTTTATTTATTTTTTCTTTTTATGAATTCACTAATCCACTAAACTAATAGTGTGCTTTACTAATATTTTATCCTTGATGTTTTTTTAATATCGTGGATGCATACTACAAGTATATATACATAACATACATACCATATAGTATTGTATAAACCTTTCTCTCTAATTTCTTAAGTTTCTACAATACTTTTCGACACAAACTATTTTCTTTTTTACTTTAACAGATTTGCTATATGTTTAAGTGTTTTTGATCAAAAACTAATATGATTTTTTAAATAAAAAATAGTTAAGGAATATAACTCTGATGCGCACTATTTCCAAAATTTAGAAGTATTTCGAAACTGTATATGTAATAAATTGAAAAATTATAATAAATCATACATACTCGTATACACTGGTGGCAGAAATAATAGTGACACTCGCCGTAAATTAGTTTAAAAAGTAAAATATCGAAGCAAAACATGTCAAAAACATTTTGTTTTTTAATTGATCCATACAATACTTGTAAAATATAATGTTAGAAACCTATGTTGAGAAAATGTTTTTTTGGGCTTTGAAATATGCCAATGGGTTTGTCCATATTAATACTGCCATCAGTGTATGTACGTACGATTGTCTAACTGATTTTTAGTTTTGTGTACGCTGCTGTGAGTTTTAACACACTGTGCTTCTTCTTGTTCTCGTTCTCGATCTTTTTCCGCTCATTGTTATTGTTTTGCGCATTTCGAACAATTCGAAGCCATCCAAAAACAATTACAATACACGCATACGCTCTCACGCACGCACTCACATGCACACACAAGCTATCGAAAGAAATATAAATATCTATAAATTAGAAGAAGAAGAAGAAACAGCATTACTACACACGCAAGCACATCCGCCCGCACGCTTAACGCTTGCTTTTTAACTTCAAACGCAAACAACAAACAGCTGAGACAAGGATAACAACACTGAATTATAACTACTATACTATATAGAGCATTGACAACAAACAATACATTAAGAATCAAATATATAAAAAAAAACAAAAATATAATTATAAAAAACAACAACAACCAGCTGCTTCTTCATCGTTAATATCTGCATAGCTGCTGTTAGTATTGCTATTATTATTGTTGTGTTACCTGTTGTTGTCACCTGTCGCCAGTACATTTGGCTACGCGCGCCCAATGAAGCGCCAAATTAAACCCAAACGTAAAAACTGAATAATCTTAGAAAACTGAAAATACAAAAGCATAAACTTAACTCTATTTTCAACATTTTACTTCAAATCGATATACAACAACAACTAAAACAAAACAACTAAACTACATCGATCCAAACGACAAATCTGGTCTTGTGCGACTCTCACGTGTGTTAATTGGGCACTTCGCGTTATCCTCCCATTCGACTGCACCTCTTACAATACCGCTTCGTTGTGCGCCACAGTGTCACGCGAACGAAGTAATCGTGGTGACAGCATCGATTCGGCGGGCCAGCACGACCGTTTGGCTCTCAGTGGCACAGCGTTATCAGCAGTGACGTCCTCAACGGCCGGATCGACGGTGGTCGGCACCACCGGCACACTGGGCGGTGCCGGGGCATCGGGCACCTCGCTCGCGACGACCACATCGACGGGCGGTGTCAGCAGTTACGGCAGCAGCACTATGACCGGTTGTATCGGCAGCGGCAACAGTGGCGCCACTGTCGCCACATTTCGCGGCTTCCGTAGCCACTCGCCGTCGAGTCGACGCAGTCGTGAACGCAGCCGTCGCGAGTTCCAGCGTACACACGGCTCCGATCAGGGCGGTCTGTTAGCCTACAGCGGTTTGAGTGGCTTAAGTATTGGCGGAATCAGCAGCGGCGTTGTTGGAATCGGTGGCGGTGGCGTCAGCGGCGGCGGCTTCATTGTGGGCGGTGGTGATGGTAGCACTCTGGATGGTATGGGCGGCATTGGTGCCGAGGACTCGCGTCTATCAGGTGTGACTAACAAGCAAATATGTACTTATATATGTACTCTAGTAAATTATATGCCTGTTTGTGTGTAAACTTGAAATGTATGCTAAGGTTTTTTATGTGTTTAAAAATGCCTGGCTCACATTCTCAAGTCGTGCTTCTATTTTGCTTTGCATTATTTTTAGGTTTCATTATTTTTTTATTTTTTTGATGATCAACTTTCTCAACTCTTTCATGTTGTCAGGCAACGAGGATCTCTGCTATCAGTCCTTCGCTTCCGACGAACAGGATGGCACACAAGTGGGCGCGGATGGCAGCAAGAAACACCATCGCCGACATGAACGTACCTCTAGCCTGCAAGCTCTCGATCGTCTCAACACAAAAATCCAATGTACAAAAGAGTCAATACGAAAGGAGCAAACAGCCCGAGATGGTTAGTGAGAATTATTTAAATATTGAATTTGACTTGAAAGTGAATCTAAATTACATTTGCAAAGTGCAATACAAAAGTCAGTGTAAAACTGCCTTTCAAGAAAGTTTATTATTCTTTGAAATGCAGTTTTCGTAAATCTCTTACCTTTTGTAAACATTTTTTCTTTTGAGTTTTTAGTTTAAGACACATATTTACTAAGTATTTTACTCTTGAACGAGGTCTACTTTACGGCGAAAGTGGTGAAAGTTGGTTAGGGCGGCCTCTTTCATACTAAACTGCATACTATTTTTACGACCCATCACCGTTGAGGCCCATCATAATGAATGAAATTTCAATCGTAAATAACTTTGTATTACTTCTTTCGACTAAAGTGAATATCCGGCTATTGGGGTCTCCAACAAAACTTAAAAGATTGCAAAGCGAAAAATAGCCCTTTCACATCTGTATCGAATACTTCCTCAAAAACCATTCTATTCTGACTGAATTACGTTGTGATATTGTAACAGGAAAAACTGCCTAAGAACCGAAAACCGATCTCTACACAACATACACCGATATAAAGGACGTTTTCAAATCACAACAGAATTTCTTTTCAATAACCCTCTAAAGTCTACTTATGCAATTGCTCTTTGTTTTTGGTCGAATTACCACTAAACCTCTCCTTTCTTGGACTCCCATTTGATCACCTCAATTGCAACCCCTAAATAAGCCAACTTCCATAATGCCCTAGGAGTGTCTCACGACCACTGAATTATATACGTAACACTAAATATCTCTTCTTTTGCCATTCTAACCTGACAGTTTTGAGAATAGATCCCATAAGGCAACATCTTCCGATTTGGTTAGCTTTCTTAATCTCATTTGATAAGCTCTCAAGCGTTATTTCGGAAAATATTGGAATGTCAAAAGAATTGACAGAAACTTTCGATCTACTGATAGCAGAATTTTTATTTTTGGTACCATAACGGTATTTTGTCAGTTAACGAGACGGTTATGACAACTGGTGTGCCTTTAAGATAATTGAAGTGCTATATGCCCCCAATAGCCAGCCATGCCCGTAAAAATCATTCTGAGTATACAACAGTGAGCAATAGTGTGGCTGATTAAGTTCAAAAATATTTTAAATATCACAAAATTTTTTTTTCATAGTAAAAATAAATGAATAAAAGTACAAACAGCATG